CTGTCTAAAATTCCTGTTTCTGAGTGGTGTTCTTTATTTACTGTCTTGATTCTGATGTATTTTTTAATGCTGTTAACAAAATTTTGTTCATTTTCATGGTTTCCTCCTTTCTGTTGAAGTTGTCCACGTGCTTGTGGATGTCAGTGGCTTCTCTCTGTAGTCTGGCATGATGGTTGTCAAAGTGGTTCATCATTTCTGTGTTCTCAAAAAATATTGTGTGTTCAGATTGGTTTATCAACTGCTCTGCTATAGCTGACTTCTCTGGTTGAATTAGTCTGCAGTACCATTCATGTTTCTTGATTCATGTTTGGATGCTGTGTTTGGTGGTCCCTATGTAGACATCCACAGCTGCATGGTATATGGTAGACTCCTGCAATGGATAGAGGATCCCCTTTATCCTTCACTGAATATATCATTTGTTGAATTTTCTTGGTGGGTCTGTAGATTGTTTGTAAATCATGTTTCTTTATCAGTTTCCCTTGATGTATGGTAAGAACACTTTTCCTCTGGGTGGATCTTTGGCTTGACTCTCATGGTTTGGTTGTGGTCTTGCAGCTCTTCTGATGTCTGTCATAGAATACTCATTGGGCTGTACAGCCCAGTTTAGTTTTTTCAGTTTACCTTGGAGGAGATAGGGTTCAGATATCTTGTTTGCATTGTCTATGAGAGCTCTAATTGTGCTTCTTTTTTGACCTGGGTGGTGGTTGGAGTTTTTAGGTGGATATCTATCAGTGTGTATTAGTTTTCTATAAACTGTGTGGTCCAATTGTTGATCAAGCCTTATTCTCTGTAAAATGCGCATATAATTGTTTTGTGCAGAAAACAGTCTGCACAAAACAGTCTTTTCTGCACAGGAAACAACATTTTATGTATGGATATTTCAATACAGAAATATACTAGTTCAGAAGATTCTGCTTTTTCTGCATGAAATGCTATACCCAAGGACATTTTTTTCCATTTAAAAATTACATGTGGGTGATTTGCATAGAAAATTGCATATTCTGCACAGAAAATAGCATTTTCTGCACAAATACTTTGCTTTAAAATATTATTTTCCATGAAAGAAAAGTTTGTTTCTCGTTCAGAAAGTGCTTTTTTAATGCAAGAACAGCCATGCATAAAGTTTGTGTCCAATACATCCTGAACTTTGAAGATGCTTGATAGTCCAGGGTTTCCCATGACTCAAAAACATGTTTTCTAGTCTTCTTTCAATATTTATTCCTTCATTGGTTAAATTTTAGGTTTTTTCCCATTTTAAAAAATATATAAGAAATGTTTTCCTACTAATTTGGAGGTATATAGCAAGTAATTCTACGCATGCTTATGTAGAAGCAATACTTACTGAGATGAAGTGAAGTAAATACACAATGTATTGCGTTGTTGTACTTTGTTAATACTTTACAAAAGCTGGTACTTGGCACAAAGTAAGACTAATATTGGCACCTAGTTAAAGTTACATATTCAGCCAGATGTCAAAAGCAGACAAGAAAATAGAAATATTCATTTCTCATTTCTGTTATTGTGTTATGCTTCCAAGCATTTTTAGACAAAAAAGTGTTTATCTTTAAACCTTGCTCTAAAAATCATTGCTATCTATAAACAACCAACCTTGGAACCAAAGTCTAGAGATATACAAGTTTCCATAACAACATGTTGCTGAACATGTTACTCAGTCTAGAAGAAGTCAGGGTCAGTTCAGATGTTCTAAAAATTTCTCCAATTGAGTCCCCTTCTCTCCAACCCTGCTCCCAACTGGGATTATAGATAAAGAGAATAAAATTGTTGACTTGGGCTACCAGTAAGGTGCATTCCTTACTGGTAGCAATTTCATTCACTGTGGCAATGTATTTTCTATGTTGCATAATCATTCAGATTGTTCATCTTGAATCCATGCATATGCATCCATGGGATAGTAAGGGTAGAACATAATCAGTATAGTCCTTATTTTATAATAATAATAATAATAATAATCTTTATTTATACCCCGTCACCATCTCCCCCAACGGGGACTTGGAGTGGCTTACATGGGGCCAAGCCCGAACAACAAATTACGATACAGAAATAAAAATTGCAATAAAATAAACAACATAACAATGAAGTATAAAACATGAAAGCATATAAACAATATACATAAGACATAGGAACCAAACATAATGACAGAGAGCGGGCCACATGTACATAAAATGATTTAAAAACTCAGGGTGAGATAAAGGGGCAGAACTGTTTGTGAGGGAGAACTCATAGGGAGACAGAGAAAAAAATAACAAACCTTCGTACGGGGGGGGGGGGGCAACTCCTAGGGCAAGAACGTTGAGGGAGCAATAGCATAAAATGATGTGACATAAAATGATGTGAAAAGAACAAACTGAGTCAATTACACCTCAATTAGAGCTCCCCTCACACTACCATAGCATTTTAATTTGCTCCCCAGATTTGTAGTATTGCTGAGAAGTTAGACACTGGAAATTGTTCACATACACTAGTCTTATATTGGTAGTGTGCATATTCCTTTAGCGACTTTGTTTGCCCTCCTCTGCTGAATGCCTAAATTGCATTTCTAGATTTATTTTATTTATTTATTTATCGTGTCAGGAGCAACCAGAGAGTTGTATTACATTTTTAATAAAACAAACAAACAAACAAACAGACAAAATACAAAATTTGCAAGCTTGGTAGTTGATTAAATGTCCTTTGACCAGTATCTGGCCACTTGGAGTGCCTCTGGTGTTGCCGCAAGAAGGTCCTCCATTGTGCATGTGCAGGGCTCAGGTTGCATTGCAGCAGGTGGTCAGTGGTTTGCTCTTCTCCACACTCACATGTCGTGGATTCCACTTTGTAGCCCCATTTCTTAAGATTGGCTCTGCATCTCGTGGTGCCAGAGCGCAGTCTGTTCAGCGCCCTCCATGTCGCCCAGTTTTCTGTGTGCCCAGGAGGGAGTCTCTCATTTGGTATCAGCCATTGATTGAGGTTCTGGGTTTGAGCCTGCCACTTTTGGACTCTCGCTTGCTGGGGTGTTCCAGCGAGTGTCTCTGTAGATCTTAGAAAACTATTTCTTGATTTAAGTCGTTGACATGCTGGCTGATACCCAAACAAGGGATGAGCTGGAGATGTCTCTGCCTTGGTCCTTTCACTATTGGCTGCTACTTCCCGGCGGATGTTAGGTGGTGCAATACTGGCTAGACAGTGTAATTTCTCCAGTGGTGTAGGGCGCAGACACCCCGTGATAATGCTGCATGTCTCATTAAGAGCCACATCCACTGTTTTAGCGTGGTGAGATGTGTTCCACACTGGGCATGCATACTCAGCAGCAGAGTAGCATAGCGCAGATGTCTTCACTGTGTCTGGTTGTGATCCCCAGGTTGTGCCAGTCAGCTTTCGTATGATATTGTTTCTAGCACCCACTTTTTGCTTGATGTTCAGGCAGTGCTTCTTGTAGGTCAGAGCACGGTCCAGAGTGACTCCCAGGTATTTGGGTGTGCTGCAATGCTCCAGTGGGATCCCTTCCCAGGTCATCCTCAGAGCTTCGGGATGCTTGTCTGTTCTTAAGGTGAAAGGCACATGTCTGTGTTTTAGATGGATTAGGGATCAGCTGGTTTTCCCTGTAATAGGCAGTAAGAGCACCTAGAGCTTCGGAGAGCTTCTGTTCAACCATCTCAAAGCTCCCTGCTTGAGCAGTAATGGCACGATCATCAGCATAGATGAAGCTCTCTGTCCCTTCTGGCAGTGGCTCGTCATTTGTGTAAATGTTGAACATTGCTGGACCAATCACACTCCCCTCAGGCAGGCCGTTCTTCTGTTTCCGCCATCTGCTTCTCTGGCCCTGGAACTCAACAAAAAAGCTCCTGTTTTGTAGCAGGTTTCCTATGAAGTGGGTGAGATGGTAGTCCTTTGTGATATTATACATTTTTCTCAGGAGGAGGCGGTGGTTCACAGTATCATAGGCTGCTGACAAGTCTATGAAGACAGCTCCTGTGATCTGCTCTCTTTCAAAGCCATCTCCTATGTGCTGAGTCAGGTTCAGCACTTGCAATGTGCAGCTTTTGCCCTTCCTGAAGCCAGCTTGCTGTGGAATCAGACATGGGTCTATTTTTTCCATAATTCTATGCAAAATAAGTCTCTCCCGAACTTTGTAGAGGTGGCACAACAGGGAGATTGGTCTATAGCTTTTTGGATCATTACCTTTGCCTGGTTTCAAGATGGCGATAACTCTTGCTTTCCTCCAGATTTTGGGGATCTGACAGGATGCAATCAGTTGTTCATCAGCTCCAGCAGCCAGCGCCTTGCTTTTGGACCAAAGTTCTTGATCTGTTCCATCCGTAGATCATCCAGGCCAGGTGCTTTTCCATTTTTACCTTTATTTAGAGCCATGTCCAATTCAGTAGATGTAAAGGGTTCATGAAGGTTGTTGTTCTCAATCTCTAGTTGTCTGGCTATTGGTTTCTTTGGTGGCAAGGTTGGGTTTCCCATTCTTCAAGAGTTGGTGTGCTATCTGATCTACCTTTTTGTTGGCATGGGTATTAGTTTGTGAGGCGTCATTGCTCAACCGTCTTAGAAGCCTCCACGCCTTCTGGCTGCTCTTGCTCATGTCGACCTCTGTGATCAGCTTGATCCACTGTTCTTTCTTGGCTTCAGAGATGGAGGACACAATGCTCTGCCCTGCCTGAAGGGTTTGCTCACTAAATGGGTCTTCATTGTGGAGCCTGTAATAGTTTTCCAACAAGGCAGCTGTTTCAGGAGTAATGCCCTAAAGGTAGTTGATTCTGCAGCCTCTCAGTATAGAGGCCTGTGAGCAGGTTTTCACTATTTCAATAAAGTGCTCATATTCCTCAGGGACTGGCACGACTGATTTATTTATTTACTTTACTTTTATACCACCGTTTCTCAGCCTAACTGGTGACTCAACGCGGTTTACAACAAGATAATCAAACAACAATATACAATTTAAAACCGTAAAAGCACAATACAAAATTAACACAACAATAGCAATACTATGCATCTCATCACTGGAGTCGTAGTCCAAATTCGTCGTCCATTTTCCATTCCTTAAGTTCTTTGTATGCTTGAGCTCGTCTATAAAATGCTTTGATGTTCTTTGGATCTATTTTAAGAGCTTCCGAACAGTCCTGAATCGCTTCTTTGTACTGCTTTAGATTCAGGTAGCAAAGAGCCCTGTTAGTATAAGTTGCACATTCAAGCTTGTGGAGTTTTAAACTCTGTGTGTACTTTTCTACAGCTTTCTTATAGTTGCCTTTCTTTACAAATTCATTTCCTTCTAGTTTCAACGTGTTTGCTTGTTTGGTTGTAGCAGCTGAAGGCACTTGATTTGTTACAGGAGCAGCAGCATTCATTTTGTTTCCATCAGGAGGTGGCTCCCACCTTTTCTGAGCAGAAACAGGAACAGTTGGGATGGGTGGGAGCTTCTGGCGCCACTGAAGACCATCTTTGTCCAATAAAGCCTTGGTCATTCTGTTGACGCCATCATGTGCAGCCTGTACAGAACAATCAATCTGTAGTACAGTTTTGTAGTCCACATAGGCTAAATTGTACCTCTCAAGAGCTTCATAGGCTGCTGCCCGCCTCAACAAGGGTTTGATGCTAAAAGCAACAAGCTCCAGGGCATCAGAACAATCCTTAATGCACAGGCTAAGGTTCCCATCCTTCAAATAGCACGCAGCACGATTGGAGTAAAGAACACTTTTCTCTTCTGCATTTGCATCCCCTGCCGCCTCCAGTGAGGCCAAGGCCCGGCTGTAAAGCGCCGCCGCCTGGCTGTACTGCCCGTGGCGGAACTGCTCATTGCCGGCTCTCTTCAGGTCCGCGCTCTGCGAGGAAGGCGCCATGGAGACGGCTGAAGGGACCCCGCGCAAGGAAGGAAGGGCTGATCATGTCATCTAGAATGCCTGAGGATTTAGTCCAATCTGCCTTTCTGAAGTTGAATCTTCGTTTAAATTGAGCTTCCTGAGGCCTTATGGTTGGGAACAGTTGGCAAACTATAGGTCGGTGCTGTGTGTTTGGAATTGGTGGTCCCACTGATTTAGTGCATTGCTGTACAATGCTGTCGCTCACAAATAAGAGGTCTGGGTTATAACCTCGATGCCATCTCCCGCTGTTGTAGGATGGTGGGAGCTTACTATCATGAATGAGTGATAGTTTGTGCAGTTCAGACCAGCAGAGGACAGCCTCTTCATTTTTATCCTCTTGATCATATCCCCATACATGGCTATGGCTGTTAAAGTTAGCAATTACTACCGCCCTTGGTGCCTATCAAAGTTCTCGGGGGAGGAGAAACAAAACTCTTCATTTGGGGGCTTGTACACAGAGGTGATGGTGATGTTATTAAGCTCTACTGTTATAACCTCTATATTGTTTTCTTCAGTGTTGTGGGCACTGCTGACTTAGAGGCCTGGTTTTACAAAGACCACGCTGAGCATGTGGTCTTTCTGCTACTAAGACAATTTCTGGAACTTTTGGTCATTTTTGTTGTTCATCCCTGTGTGTTTCTTGGACACACAGCACATCACATTTCTTATCTTGGCACAGTTCATAGAGCAGTTGTTCTTTGGCAGCTGACATGCCTTCAATGTTGATTGAGATTATTGTCATGGTTGGTCCTGAAAAGGTCCGTTGGTTGTTTTGTTTGCTTGCTTGCATGCTGCAAGTCGCTTCTGGTCGCTACTGGAGTGAGAGAATCAGCCGTCTATGAATACGTTGCCCAGGGGATGCCCAGATGTCTTGCAATCCTGCGAGAAGGCTTCTCTCATGTTCCCTGCATTTCTAGATGTGCAAGTTTAAGTCATTGCAATGTTAGAAATTTGGGGGCTGAAGGAACATTTTATGGGGGGCAGAGTTCTCCTGGGAAGATAATGCCTTCATTGCCTCTCAAAGTTATACCCTATCCTGACTACTCTTCAATTCAGCTATAAAGGAGATGTCTGGGCTTTTCAAATCCTTTTAAATCAGTATGAAAACAGATCAAAGTAACACTTGGTAAATATTTTTTTTCAGATTCTTGACCTAGAATGTTACAAACTCGGTTGGTTTGTTCTTTTGTTTTGAACTGTGGACATATATTGCAAACACTCTCCCTTATATCCTGGGGGACAGAGAATGAAATGTTTCCCTGCTGTATCTAGGTTGCCACAATGTTTAGAACTGTCCTGATACGTGAGTAGATTTAAAATTGTGTGTGGAAAGCATACATTCTTCTCCAGATGTAGCAATTATTTTTATGGAATTTCTGAACTCTGCTGGAAGTTTATTCCTAAGATCAAGAAGTAATTTGTTGTTTTCTCCTAGGGAACTTTATTTCCTAATCTACCCGTATGACCAATCATTCCTACAATGAAAATTCCATCCAATCATGAAGCTCTTGTATTTAAAATCCATTTGTTATTCCCCTATATTTAAATCATAATAATGGATAAATCATTTGATTCCATCACCAAGGCTGTACATTTTTCTTTACCTAACTGGGTTTAATATATTTATTTCCAACTTCATGCCTTCCCAACATATTTTTGGCATCAGGTAGACTATTTGATGGTTGGTTTAATACATTTCTCAATGATTCCTGAATCAACTCAATAAATTTCTATAGAAGTAAAGTCCTCTTTTAGATAGAATTTTTAAAATCTTTAAAAGCTTAGTGAGTATAAGAAGGAAATTCACAACCAGAATCAAGGCTGCACTTTTAAATACATTTCATACTCATGGATTCTGTTTTTGATGTAAAATCCTTGATCTCATTTTAATCTGTTCTCTCTAATCAGATTCAGACCTTCATTATCCATGACCATATCAAAACACAAACCTTGACCTTTTCTAAAGTGGAACGTCCTTGTGTGCTTTAAACATCAGGCACACTTAGTCATCATTAAATTATGACTGGATATTAAAACTAGCCAAACATATCTAAATACAGCATGAAAGGAGTTCTTTTGCTCAACAAATGTTAATATTTTCTTTATCTATATGAGCGCTTGCCAGATGTACTGAGTGAAAACTTCAGAATCACAAGAACAATGTCATCCCATTAAGACCACTGCAATGTCAGTTGACATGAATTATCTTTTCCCATAGTAATTTTAAACAATGTCAACTGTAAACCTCTGTGAGTGTTCTTGGTTTTGCTCAAGTTTCCTTCCTTCCAAATATGAAAGCCAGATTTTGATTGAGAAGTAGGACATGCCCTTAGGCCTAGGCATATGTTTATGTATATTGAGTGTGGAACACTGCAGGAATGACTCTAGCAGCTGCCTTAGGCAACCAATTTTCAATGTCATGGTTTTCAATATCATGAAAGAGGATCCAATTGTTAGTTCTTTGGATTATTGTTATTAAATATTTAACCACTAGAGAGACAGAGAGTTGTTTTTGAGATTTTCTGCCTCATGTGCTAAATCAATTTGCCTCACTTTCCAAACTGTGCATCTTCACTTGAGGTTAGGGGCATCATTTGCTATTTGAACCTTAGGCAGAACAGTTCCCACACCAGTCTTGGCACTGTTTCTTGTATGTGTTTGTGTGTCTCAACAATAACAACAACCTGAACTCAATCCAATTCACAAAATGTGATAAATTCAGAATAACAGGTATGTTATACTTGCATTGCTATGGTTCAAACAGTATTAAATGTCTTTCAATAATTTGCAAGATGCTGAATCAGATTTATGAGATATATTTACTTAAGTAACATTGCTTTCTCAGATAGCATGGGACAAAACGTTTCTGATGACCTTCAGGGACAGAGACTCTGTGCAATAATGCACTAAGCTCCAAAACATTACAGGTCATGAGGATGGGATTTACAGGCTGTTTAAGACTTAGCCATCCTCTCATATTTTCTTCTTGCCTAATAGGGCTATGCATAGTTTCATTTTTAATTAGTAATTCATATTCTAATTCATGTTTTGTATATGCAAACAGATATTAAGAAAGGGGGGAAGAGATGAGACGGGGGACTTAAGAATCAAAACTCACTCAATACTTTTTCATTTGAATTATGTAATGCCTGGAAGCCTATCAAAGTCAGTTTCATTTTGAGCACAAGCGAAGGGAAGCCAAAAAGGCTGCCATTTCTCTTTAAAATAATAGCCCCTCACCATGAGGAGAGGAAAGCATCATGGAGGGATAAAGGTGAGTGAAAGAGACTGGGAGAGCACAGAATTCTGGGAAATGTAGTTTGGGAAGATGAGGAGCCCTGTGTCAGAGAATTCAAAAGGCCCTGCCTAAACTACATTTCCCAGAATTCTGCTCAGCATCAGATTGCTTCAGTTAGGATAGGGGAGAGGTTTTTTCCCTTCTAGCAGCAGCCAGAGTTTCAATAAATTATTGAATCTGCAAAGAGGTGAAGTGACTTATACTTTAATACAAGGAAGTAAATCAGTGCTAGGCTTGGAAGAAATCACTAAATTGAAGTTATATGAGAGACATTCAATGAGGAAGCCATCATGGCTTTAAAAAAACTTTTTGGCAAAACTTTTTTTCAAATCCCAAAGATTAGTAGATTTATGAATATTTCTGAAACTTGTGGGGGAATGATTCCATGTTATCTTGTGTGGTTGTATAGAAAATTCAAAAAGATAGCACTTGAAGGTTTGTTTTTTTTAAAAAAAAATGTTGTTTTTAAAGACTTTGTAAAGACCCCTGTGGCGCAATGGGTTAAAGCGCTGAACTGCTGAGCTTGTTGACTGAAAGGTCGCAGGTTTGATTCTGGAGAGCGGTGTGAGCTTCCACTCTCAGCCCCAGCTTCTGCCAACCTAGCAGTTCGAAAACATGCAAATATGAGTAGATCAATAGGTACCACTCTGGCAGGAAGGTAATGGAGTTTCATGCAGTCATGCCGGCCACATGACCTTGGAGATGTCTCCAGACAATGCCGGCTCTTTGGCTTAGAAATGGAGATGAGCACCACACCCCAGAGTCAGACACGACTGGACTTAATGTCAGGGGAAAACCTTTAACTTTACCTAAAGACTTTGAAAATTCCTCAAAAATCTCTGGATGACTGAAATGTTCTGAAACTTGATGGGCTAGCAATGGTAAATGTGTTCTATAATTGTTTCATGCCAATAGCTCTAACAATGAGGGAGAACGGTACCTCTGAAGTTTCCCCTTCAGATACTTTCTGTAAATACTTAATAAAATGTAATGATAAAGTAGTTAACTTATTATAGTTATGATACAAACCCTGTCCAATTTCAGAAACATTTTAGAAACAATTTGCCCCACCCCCTAATTTGAATGAGTATTGGAACATTTTTTTCATTGATCACACAGGCCTATTGTCTAAATATGACTCACCCTCCTGTCCACTGTACAATATGAGCTTGTCTGCTTGCTTTGAGATTGAGTAGAATTTGTCTCACCTATTACTTTTTTTGTTGTTGCTTACCCCATACTGTATCTGGGAGACTTTAATAGATTAGAAGCTTGTCATCTGGCACATAGTGGGGTAGGGGGAGTACAGAAGACTCTGAGAGTTGATCTTGAGGAAGACACCTGCTGAACCCATATCAGGTTGCCATGACCCTTTTGTCAGACTGAGGCTGGAAAGTTTCCCAGCCTTGTCTTGATGGAGGAGTGCAGGCTGGTTTATGTGAATGATTCTAATATGCCATTAAATCTATACACACCTCAATTTTGGCTATGTAATTTAGCCAAAAAAGTAAGCATTAGATTTGAGTAAATATGGTATTAACTACATATTAGGAACCCCAAGCACCTTCTGGAGTTAATAGGATAGTCAAAGTTTGTTTTAGAAGATTGCAGTCTAGTAATATCTAAAAACAATGATTTTTTTAAAAAAAATAGATAGAGGTCAGAACAATATATTTGGTTTGGGCTTATTTACAGCAGAGCCCTTAGGCCCTGGCAAAG